GATGCTGAACCACCTCAGCTGACTCCTTTCGACGCGAAGGAGTAGCGTCTCTACTCCAAGCTCCCTCCTGATGACCGAGCTCCTTACCCTATCTCTAAGGCTGAGCCCGGCCACCCTACGGAGGAAGCTTGAAACTATTGCTGAATCAAACATGTCAAAGTGAAGAACATTGTTGGCTTTCTTTATATTTGTTGTGTGCCTGTTTTTGTGCGCTACGTGCATGATCACAGTCCTGTTGGCTAGTTTATGGTATCGAGAAAGAAGTTGCGCCTCTATTGCATGTTTTACTGTTATTGTCCAGCAGGTGGTGCTCGAGCCTCAACTGGTGACGTGTGCGTGTGTGTGTGTGTGTGTGTGTGTGTGTATGTGTGTGTGTGTGTGTGTGTGTGTGTGCGTGTGTGTGTGTCCACTCTGCGATTAATAAAGGTTTAGGAAAGAAAAAAACAAGATTAATGAAACAGGGTAATTTATTCTGAGACGGGAATGTTTTCCGTCATTTAGCTGTTTAATTATATTTCGGTTTACTTTTTTTTAATAAGTCTGTAAATGTGGAGAAAGTCGATGCAACAGTTGTGAACTTCTGTTACTTTCACTTTCATCATGATGATCGTGGCGCAGCAAGAATTAACCGGTGAGTGAAATCTGTCGAAGTTAAATCAAACTGCCTCGTGTTTTGCTGATTATAAACGTCGATGGATCGAGATGTTTTATGTTTTATGTTTTATTATCAAGACTCTACAGAGTAATACTGCGGTCAAGTCAGCAGACACTTCAATTGTAGTGCACCTATACGCTGAAACTTACGGTAAACGCAACCAAACGGCACAGATCGAGAGCGAGCGAAGAACTTTGCAAAGTTAGCGGAAAGATTAACGTGAGACAACTTCCGGTTTTCTACAGACGAACATCCGGTTTTCAGAATAAGATGCCAACAAAGTATACATATTGCATAATGAAATTAGATTAAATGAATTATATTCACATTAAGTATAAAACATGCTACCTGCATCTCCTGAGTTAAAGGGAAAATACACCTAAATTGTGCGTAAAGTGTCTTTATTCTTTGATTTGAGGGTTGCTGGAAGTTAATAATACCTGACTGACGGTCAATTAAGATATTTTACAAAGCAAAAACTCTGAACTGAATTTGTATCTTCAAATGGCACATTTTTTAAATGTTTAAGGTGCTATAAAAATGTTTTTCTCAATAATTCCACACAACGACTGACATGTATGTGTTGGGGACATCGTTGACTCCACCCATACTGAAAATTAGACATTTTGACTGTACCAATTAAGAGATATTTCAAATTAAAACTCATACATTTGAATTGAGAAAATATCTAATAAATGGATATTTGAAGTGTAATAAAAAGTATTTTCTCAATAAGTCCAGACAATGACTGATATACATGTGTTGAGGACGTCGTTGACTCCACCCACACTGAAAATTAGACAATTTTACTGTACCAATTAAGAGATATTTCAAATTAAAACTCATACATTTGTACCCAGAAACGGGTACATTTCTGAATATTTGAGGTGCTATAAAAACTATTTTCTCAATAATTCCAGACAATGACTAATGCATATAAGTTGAGGAAATCTCTGACTACACATATACAGAAAATTAAACATTTTTACTGTGGTAATTAAGAGATTTTTTAAAGTAAATGTCCTACATTTGTTCCAAGAAATATCCAATAACTGAATATTTGAAGTGTTTCCTCAATAATTCCAAACAATGGTTAATGTATACAGGTGCATCTCAATGAATTTGAATATCATCGAAAAGTTAATTTATTTCAGTAATTCAATTCAAAAAGTAAAACTCATATATGATACAGATTCATTACACACAAGGTGATATATTTCGAGTGTTTATTTCATTTAATGTTGATGATTATGGCTTACACCTAATAAAAACCCCAAATTCTGTATCTCAGAAAATTTGAATATTACATAAGACCAATTTAAAAAAGGTTTTTTAATACGGAAATGTTGGCCTACTGAAAAGTATGTCTATGTACAGATTAAAGTATGCACTCAATACTTGGTCGGGGCACCTTTTACATGAATTACTGCATCAATGCGACATGGCACGGAGGCGATGAGACTGTGGCCCTGCTGAGGTGTTATGGAAGCCCAGGTTGCTTTGATAGGGGCCTTCAGCTCATCTGCATTGTTGGGTCTGATGTCTCTCATCTTCCTCTTGACAATACCCCATAGACTCTCTCTGGGGTTTAGGTCATTCAAGAATTTGGTTGAGAATCACAAGGAGTGGACTGCGGCTGGAGTCAGTGCTTCAAGAGCCACCACACACAGACGTATCCAGGACATGGGCTACAACTGTCGCATTCCTTGTGTCAAGCTACTCCTGAACCAGAGACGTAAGAAGTGTCTTACCTGGGCTAAGTTGCCTGAGCCAAGTTACCTGGACTAAGGAGAAAAAGGACTGTTGCTCAGTGGTCCAAAGTCCTCTTTTCAGATGAAAGTCAATTTTGCATTTAATTTGGAAGTCAAGGTCCAGAGTCTGGAGGCAGAGTGGAGAGGCACACAATCCAAGTGTCTTGAGGTCCAGTGTGAAGTTTCCACAGTCAGTGATGATTTGGGGTGCCATGTCATCTGCTGGTGTTGGTCCACTGTGTTTTATCAAGTCCAAAGTCAGTGCAGCCGTCTACCAGGCCATTTTAGAGCACTTCATGCTTCCCTCTGCTGACAAGCTTTATGGAGATGCTGATTTCATTTTCCAGCAGGACTTGGCACCTGCCCACACTGCCAAAAGCACCAATACCTGGTTTAATGACCACGGTATCGCTGTGCTTGATTGGCCAGCAAACTCGCCTGACCTAAACCTCAGAGAGAGTCTATGGGGTATTGTCAAGGGGAAGATGAGAGACATCAGACCCAACAATGCAGACGAGCTGAAGGCCCCTATCAAAGCAACCTGGGCTTCCATAACACCTCAGCAGTGCCACAGTCTCATTGCCTCCGTGCCACGCCGCATTGATGCAGTAATTCATGTAAAAGGAGCCCCAACTAAGCATTGAGTGCATACTGTATACTGTACATGGACATACTTTTCAGTAGGCTAACATTTCTGTATTAAAAATCCTTTTTTTAATCGGTCTTATGTAATATCTAATTTTCTGAGATACGGAATTTTTGGGTTTTTATTAGCTGTAAGCCATAGCCTAATCATCAAAATTAAAAGAAATAAACACTCGAAATATATCACACTTTCGATGATATTCTAATTCATTGAGATGCACCTGTATACATCAATCATTGTTTGGAATTGTTGAGGGAATACTTTTTATAACACTTCAAATATTCAGAAATTACCTGTTCCTCGGTACAAATGTATGATATTTACTTTTAAATATCTCTTAATTGGTACAGTAAAATTGTTTAATTTTCAGTATGGGTGGAGTCAAAGATGTCTTGAACAGATATGCATCAGTCATTATCTGGAATTATTAAGAAAATCCTTTTTATAGCACCTTAAATATTAAGAAATGAACTTTTTGAACGTTCAAAAGAAGGACTTATATTTTGGAAAATCTCTTAATTGGGAAAGTAAAAATATTTGATTCTCAGTATTAGTATAGTTAGAGATGTCATGAACACATATGCACTAGTCATTGTCTGGAATTATAAAGAAAACTCTTTTTATAGCACCTCAAATATTCAGTTATTGGATATTTCTTGGAACAAATTAATTTGTCCATTAATTTAATGGACATTTACTTTAAAAAAATCTCTTCATTACCACAGTAAAGATTTTTCATTTTCTGTATGTGTAGTCAGAGATTTCCTCAACTTATATGCATTATTCATTGTTTGGAATTATTGAGAAAATAGTTTTTATAGCACCTCAAATATTCAGAAATGTACCCGTTTCTGGGTACAAATGTATGAGTTTTAATTTGAAATATCTCTTAATTGGTACAGTAAAAATGTCTAATTTTCAGTGTGGGTGGAGTCAACGACGTCCTCAACACATGTATATCAGTCATTGTCTGGACTTATTGAGAAAATACTTTTTATTACACTTCAAATATCCATTTATTAGATATTTTCTCGATTCAAATGTATGCCTTTTGATTTGAAATATCTCCTAATTAGGACAGTAAAAATGTCTAATTTTCAGTATGGGTGGAGTCAACGATGCCTTGATTACATATACATCAGTCATTGTATGGAATTATTGAGAAAAATATTTTTGTAGCAGCTCAAATATTGTGATATCAGCCTTTTTTTGTCCTGAACATATATGCATTAGTCATTGTGGGGAATTATTGAGAAAAACATTTTCATAGCACCTTAAAAACTTCAGAAATTTGCCATTTGAAGATATAAATTCAGTTCAGAGTTTTTGCTTCGTAAAACATCTAAATTGACCGTCAGTCAGGTATTATTAATTTCCAGCAACCCTCAAATCAAAGAATAAATACACTTTACGCACAATTTAGGTGTATTTTCCCTTTAACTCACGAGATGATGGTATCATTTTTTATACTTATTGGAATATAATTCATTTAATCTCATTTCATTATGCAATATGTATACTCTGTTGGCATTTTATTTTGAAAACCGGATGTTCGTCTGTAGAAAACCGGAAGTTTTCACGTTAATCTTTCCGCTAACTTTGCAAAGTCCTTCGCTCGCTCCCGTCCTGTGCCGTTTGGTTGCGTTTACCGTAAGTTTCAGCGTATAGGTGCACTACAATTGAAGTGTCTGCTGACATGACCGCAGTAGAGTAATTAAGATACATGTCGGTAACAAAATCACGATGAAAAGAAAACCTAGAATCACCCCTCACATTATAAGTTATGTATTTAGACTTAAAACACGTGTTCATTCTGAGAGCAGCTGTTTTAGGATCAATGCGGCAAAACTGTTAATCCTGAAATAAAAGACGTGCAGACTGAACCTCATGTCGATTTAAATGTAAGAGCAAATGTTCACCTTCTTATGAGAATTATGCTCTGAGATCTATATCAAGTAAATATCTCTGTGTTTCATGTTTAGTGGTCTTATTGAAGACGTTTGGTTTCTAGTTTCATAAACACTAAATACTGTAATACTGTCTGCAGAGAATGCTGCTGCTGCTGCTCGATCGGTAAAGCTACAGAGAGAGATACAGGTAACAGGTGAGAATAGAGCTGTTCCTCATCAAACTGAAAGAGTCCAAATCAAGATGCTAAAGTCAGAGCGGATTATTTATGTGCAAGAAAAACAGATAAAGAGAGAATGTCAAAAAATAAAGGCATCCATTTCATGAATTCTAAAATACAAGCACACTGCATCTCATTCTAATGCTGACAAATCATCATAATAATAATGAGTTTATTTGGTAATTGTCTAACTATGAGATAATGATGGTGACATGTCATCATAAGTGTGCAGGGCTCCTCAGCCCCTCTGCTGCGGCTCCCTGAGGCTTCATCCACACTAATATGTGTTAACAAACAGAAACGATCTCCGTCCACACGGCGTTTCAGCATCGTTTTCAAAATGATCTCCGTCCAGATCAAAACGCCTGAAAACTAAAATCAAGTGACTATTCACGTACACTGGCCATGCTCATGTTTGTGAGTTTCCGGGTAAGGGTCACGTGATAGGGGCGTGACCAATCAGGGAAGGACACATCGTGACTGCTAAGAACCAATCAAGTACCGAACCTGGGTGTGTCTACGTCATCGTTTCTAGACTTATGCGTTTACGAGCGTCCACGCGCAGAGGTAACCCCGGAGTTTTCAAACTCCTCCGTTTTCAGTGCTTGAAAACTCCGGCGTAGTGTGGACGCTCGGTGTAAACGTAGCACAACAACAGCAACGTCGTGGTGTGGACGTGGCCTCAGGCTTTCACAACAAATAACATGCAAATAAATAAGTTGTTTTATTTTTGCACAGTGGACACTCTTTCAAAGGGAACACCTCTGGCCTTAGAGTTTGAGGTGATGCTGTGTCACTGAAAATAAAAAAATGTTTTCATATTTTGTCAACTAAAATGTGCGTCACATCCTATTACGTCGCTGTCAGGAGCCTTTCCCTGCAGGTGGCTAATGATGATCTGCAGACCCCCCCCCCCCTGCCCTCTGTAAACTAGCAATGGATAAATCCAAAAAAAGAAAAGTCACGGAGGAAAATAGAGTTTAATTCTGCGTGGACGCATTAATTTGCTTTCACTGCCAACGATGCTGACTTACCTGCATGTTTGATATGTGCAAACAATGTAATGTTGAAAGACACTTCCAGAACAAACACAGCATGTGCTGAACAGTGTCACGCTGGAGATGATTTCTCAACTGCTGCAGCAAACTCTCCTCTTCATAAGAGTTTGATATTGTTATAACAGGTAAAATAGTAATAAATGTCAAGAATTGTCTTGTTTTATAATTTGATAAATACAACAAACTATAGTTTTTGTATATATAATATAACTATATATACAACTTTATAAGCTGTGATATCAAATAGCTTTTGCGGCTCCAGACAAATTTTATTTGGTGGAAAATATGTCTCTTTGGAGAGTAAAGGTTGCCGACGCCGGCTCTAGTGTGAGCTCACAGTGAAGGCCGAGATGTTGAATGTCTAAATAGAATAAAAACAAGAATTGGAAACTAACCAGCAGTGTGCATGTATGTATCATAATCTATAATTAAACTACTAACGCCAAGATGTCAATCAAAGCAAGTATTTAAATTTAAAAAACTATAATTTATTGTGAAATCAATTGAATTACGTGTTTTCTGGAAATAACTACGATAGATGACAAATACAAAGTCAAAACATTACATTTAGAAGCGTTGTCGGTTTACGTTGATTTAAATTCTCCCATGTAGTTGCCATAGCAATGCTCTTTATGCTGTACTTTGATTAATGGTTATACATTGATCTATACCGTTACCATCCATGCTTATTATTTGTTCTTCCTGTAACAATATGAAGGATGTAAAATCTAGACTTTTGTTGGAGTCTGACGATCTTCAAATTCAAATCTGTGTTTAAGATTGCGCAACAAAAACTGGTATTGGACCCTAAAGTTCAAATACTGAAAAACTTCAGTCATCATCGTTATAGCGGAACATTTTACAAGCTGAGACGAGCAGGAGAAGAGACGTAACAGGTTGTTAGAAGTCTTTGTTTAACCATCTGGTTATTTTGTGTTTGAAGGTGTTTGAGACCGACTGTCGGCCTCCAGCGGAGCTTCGTCTGACGTCTCCAGCTCAGTGACGGGATGGCAGCTGCCTCAGAATCTGGTGAGTACCATCACATTTACAGCAGAATAATGTAAATTAACTCTATACTCTGTTCAGAGCTTCTACTGTATATGTAAATTGAAAATAGCTGGATGTTGTGGAGTATTTGCCAGTCAAATGTCCCCCATCATATCCCAGTTGTAATACCACATGTGTACCACTAGACGGAGAACCAGCATCTAAATATTCAGTGCGACCGGCTGTTTTCCGGTTCTGCTTCTCCGGGCTGCAAAAAAAGAGACGGGGGATACTTGTGAACATCAGGAAATCACCATGAATAATATTCATAACGTCACTGTTTGTTGGGATAACGTTTAGTAATTATCTTGGAGACAATTAGTACTTTTCTAGGAAATCACTGCTTAAACTTAAACAATGCTCTCTACACTACAGAACAGGATCTACTTTACTATCTAACAGTATCTACAATATCTATCTGACAGTAATATACAATATCTATCT